GACAAAATAGTGCTATTTAGCATAAGATGACCAACCCACAAAGTCTCAATTAGCAAAAATTTAACAATAAGACCACAGGAGTTAACATTATGTAGCATTGAATATGTATTTAATACTTATTCCAAGAAAATCACATTTATGATAATAGTAATATATTTCTCTGCAATTCTAAAAGTTTGACATGTTATGCCATGCGATTGATTGTACGATATAAACTTTTAATTCAAATATTCAGGAATATAAGACAAATCGATAAAAGAATATAAAAAATGATGAAAATTCAAAAATGAAGAAAAGGATAGGCATATAAAGAATATAAAAATTTATCACAAATATATATCGCACAAAAATATCTCGCAAAGCAAATTATAATAATATTGTAATAAATTATAATAATATTGTAATATTGTAATTTTATTAAATAATTAAAAAATTCCATTTTATTACATATTTCATAGATTGATAAATGATTAAATCAAATCATTATAGAATTTTAGGTTTTTATGCAATAATAATTTGTAAATATAATTTTATCTCTTTTAATAATTACTCATTCAATTTTTTAACTGCAATAAAAAAAGCACAAAAACACGATCTTCGTTTTGTAATGGAAACACGATTGTATAATTCGTTCCGTGAAGAACCGCATCAGTCGTATAACGAAACTGTAGAGGATAATACCTTTACGTCAGACATTAGTAATGTTTAATGTGTCGTTCAGGCACAACCCTTCAGAACCCTCGCGAAAGCAATAATAACGTAAGATCCACAAAAGATGATGACGATTTACGGTCGACGATGCTTTAATACAAAAGTCGAATGAAGAATGTCTTTATTAAAACGCTCTACCGAATTTAGGTCAGCGTCTTCCATCACGAAAGTCGTTTTAGAAGCAACTACCATGATAATTTCTTTCGAAGAGGTCGGTTGAATTAGGGAGAAGGTACAAGACCGGGCGGATCCTAAAGTGAGAGTCGCTCTGAAAGAAAGGGGAGTGACTAGATTTTTGTACCTCCAGAACCTTTCGGGAACCCCACCTCCAAAATAGTCTCTGGACCATCTTGTTTAAAATATTCCTTTTGTGGACATCAAGGTCAAAACTGGATAGAAAAATATGGTATTCCCTGCATCAGAAAAATTGTACACGTTCCTCAACATTCCATTCCGCTTGCGGCGTGGCGGACAATCTGTTTTGATGTTGAGATATTAAGCACAGCAGTATGTGACGAGAATAAATTATGTGCTAGATGTACGATACTGTCTTGATTAAAATGTTTGTAAAGATTTTGCGAAGATTCTTAACTGATTGTAGCATTCGATAAAGTTACATATTTCTGTTCTCCGTTTAAAAGTAGTTTAAAAGTTAGATAAAAATGCAAAAATATGTACATATAAATATTATACAACAGAAAGATATAATATTTTAAAATTAAATATATTAATAGAGATTAGCAAATCAATAAATTTTATTTGAAGGGAAAAACTGATATAATTAATTTTTATTAAAAGAGCTTATCTTATTTTTCCGCTTCGCATCTATCTAATCTTGTGAAATATATTATTCTTTCTTATATTTAATTAAGTTAAAAGATGTCAAAGATGTTAAAGTTGAACTGCTAGATTATTTATTTTAGATAGATCTAAATATTATCTCAAAGTAAGAATAAAGTCCATGATATTAATTGAAACTAACACGTAAAAATCTGTGTTATGAAAAAAATATTTTTATAAAGAGATGGCCATAGTACAGGATCAACGGACAAAATTGTACTGAGGTCTGGGGAAGAGAGTGATGAATAATGGATGATACGACATGACCATCTCGCGCCCAGTATGGCCTGTAGGAGTTAGCCGTAATGGTCCGTAAATTGGTAAACCACAGGGACAATGAAATCGGCGCGCTTCGTTCTGTAAACGCTCTGTCATTATGCGTTTTCTTGCTTTTATGATTATATCAAGTGTAGTAGATCAATATCAGAATAATTGTAATAAAAAATGCAACTTGGATTTTTTTAAGGAATGCTAAGTAAGAGATAATTACATCTATAAAAAAACTTATATTCCATAATCGAAGTTTGTCATAATACGTAGATAATGCATCACGAATTATGTGCACCAAAGACTTTCCTCGGTGTCACTTTATTCAAAATAATACAATAAAATGAATTATTTGCTGATTTATTTCGAAAGAGAGAAGAGCTTTTATTCAGAAGAATTATATCATATTTTGCATACAAAATATTATTGTACAAAGCTGTTCTTTTTACTATTATGTGTCGTATATCGTTATTAAAATTATAATCATTTTATTTCCAACTTTTATTAATATGATTCATATTGTAAAATATAAAGAACGCTGGTCGTTAAAAATATTTTATGCTTTAAAATTTCACTTTTATAACAAAATTATTAGTAGAGAAGTTTACAAGTTAACTAAAATATTAACAATTTTACAGATCTTATTTTAGATTTTTAATCTAGTTTTATATTATATTATATTATTAATTTATATTATATTAAGAGATATAATTATTAATTTATATTATATTAAGAGAAAAATTGTTTATATAATCTTAATTTCTATTAAAAATTAAATAAACATCTCATATTGAGAGGCATAATATTGTATTTGAAAAAAATTACTTACAGAAAAAATATTTTAATTTGTCTAATTTGCTGCATAAATAAATAACATTAGTTCGTATCTTTATTGTAACCATTCAAAATAAATCGCATCGTGCAAGTTGAAAAACGCATAAAATATAAATGCTTTATAAAAATATGATTAATAATAATAATAATATATATATATATATGTATATATGTATGTATATATATGTATATATATATATTTAATAATCGCATTTTCTTTCAAAAATAGAATCCTTGAAAAACCGATTTCAATGCAATGCTTGCATTTTATGTAAGTAGAATAAGAATAAATCGACAATTGTAAAAACATTATGATTCTTGATGTGAGATTTTACCAATTATTCCACCAATTATTCCATCCCAGATCATTGATGTCTACCTACTTGACGAGACATAAGCATAAATGGCATTATATGATAACCTTAGGCGCTAACAAGTTCAGGCCGATGACTGAACACGCGCATGTCAGATTAGAGAGATAGGTGAGTACGTAAATGAGTTTCCGGTGCATATGTAAATAATATAAAGCTAGCAAACGATGTATTGGTATGGTAGCGTGAAGTAAACGATCGAAGAAATTATAGCGACCATCTTAATAACCGTGTTCCGTGACAAATCAGCAAAAAAAAAACAAAATTTCTTCAATCAGAAAATTTACGATAACTTTAATCTGTGGATTCGACACTTTCGACAGCGTACACAACGATTACTGCTTGATAGTAGTACATTTTAGTTACATCAATTGCAACGTGTCACTGATAACATGATAATAACACTTTGCGCTAACTGTGTTTGACAAATGATAAAAAGTTTATCAACGCAGGTTATATCAACAAAAATTTCCAATCACATCTCATTAAAGTTTAACACGATCAGTGGCAGTAATAATTATCCAAGAAAATTTTACTAAAATATTTTCAATAATATTTCCACATAAATATATTAAAACTTTTTCGCTTTTCGTTGGAAATCTCAAAATCTCTTTTGAAAAGAACACAATAACACAATTGTTGCATACTTCTTGTATTATATTCTCAAAAATATGAATTGCTAAACTCTGTATTAATAACATGTAATGTATGTTTTTATGTATACGATAGTAATCTGGCATGCATAATCCTTAGTTAAATGCAGAATGCAGACATAGTTTTACATATATTGTTGTATTCACATGGTGTTAAAATCTAGAATTGAATACTCCTTCTTTGTCACATAATATCTGGTGGAAATGTAATTTTTATGGTAAACTGTATACGACTCTTGCTATGCGACCAAGTCTATGTAAAACACAATGCTGTAGCTTAGAAACAATGGAGCTGGATAAGATCGTGAAACAGAAGTCGCGGATTAGTCCTAGATATCCTGCGCGTAGGCTTGGACAGGGTCATGCAGGGTACAGAGTGTAAAAGTGGCTTTACGTGGGCTCGTAAGCTTTTCATCACGCGGGTTCATCGGGGCCACGAAGAAAGATCTGGGGAATGCGCATGCTCTAAAGAAGTACCGAGATGAACCAAGCCGAGAGAAGAGCGACAACTATGCAGGAAACCAATGAGAACGCGGCCTTTCGCATATCTATCTTTATCCATTTCTTTTTTTTTTCTATTCCACAATCTCAACTTATTGCGTCTCCTTTTCCAAATGTTCATTCATATCTTTTTACATAGATTATCATCTTCTTTATCATCTTCTTAAATATTTTTATTTATAGTATTGTTACGGACAGAAATTTGTTGAATCTATCTTTTCTGAATCCATTTTTAAAAGTGCGTTTTAAGGAAATACAAACGCTTCTCTTTCATTGTTTTATTTACAGATATAATCTTCTTTTCAATTTACTATCTTTGCTACGCCGCCGCGCAACCATCTTTCTACATTCTATTTTTACCTTTGATGCAATATCGCTTTCTTTACTTCTCTCTCTCTCTCTCTCTCTCTCTCTCCCCCTCCGCCCTTCTTTCTCTCTTTCTCTGTTTTTTCTTCTTCTCTTGTGCTTCTTTTTCTTCTTTTCTTTTCCTGTTTGCAATGTATATTTCCTTCTCTTTTTTTTCTCTAATGTCATCCTTTATGTTCGTCATCCTTTATTTTTATCTTAAACTGATATTCATCTTTCTTTTTATCGGATAATGCCTTCTTTCTTTTCTTGAAATGCTTTTTTTGCATGGTTAATATTTCGCCTTCTCCTCATATTTGCTTCTTTATTTGTCCAAGTCTTTTTGTAGTTAGTGATATTTAATTCTAAAAAAATATTATCACAATGAATTGTAATAAATTTTTTTAAAGAACAATACGAATATTTTATTATATAAAGTACGTTCTTTCAAAATAAATTTTTTTAAATTTATTATATTTTTTTTATTTAACTATATTATTCGCACCACATTTTGATATTAATTAAGTAGAAAACATAGAATTTTGCACAATTTGTTATTTGATCTTAGTTTTGCTGACAAGTTTATCAGAAATCTAAGAATACTTTTCGCTACTTGTAAGCAAATATGGCAGAGATTGCGAAAGAAGAGAAAACATTTATCTGATATATACTACGTTTATATAACGTGCATGGAGTCGAAACGTACCGTGAAACTCGAGCTAAAGTACTCAGTATGTTAGGCAATGAAGTGTAAGTGGATACGTTTTGTGATCTGTTAAAATGTGATGATATCAACTGTCTTTTACGATGGAGAACAGTAAAGAGCTTGGTTAGTTATTTACAAGAACTTGTAAAATTCTCTTGAATATCAAAATATTGAAGAGTAAATAGTGATTATAGAAAATTGAACCAAACAGACTGTCTTATGCAGATGATTCTATTCTATGCAAAAACAAATAAATCAATTAAAAGCTTGTAATAATCGATAAAATTCGTGTTTTTTGTTTCAACTTCACTATAGAAATTCAATTTATTGGAAGTGAAATAAAAAGTTTAGAAATAAAGCAATTTCTTACTAAATGCTCTGAAAGCTATATCAGATTTTAATTAATGAAATAGTCAATTACATTATTAATAATTGCTATATATTATTGAATCTATAATATAATTTTTATTATAAACTAACTGATATCTAGGATTATAAATAAATTCTGTAAACAATTGTATGTAATATTTAGGGAAACAACTTCTATAATATTCAATTACGTTAATTACAAATATATATTAAATTGCCACAAAATTAATAAGTAAAGAAATATACAAAATGTCCAGAAATGTTAAGATGTGTGTAAAAAAATACCTGATGGTGAACTCCAATAAAGGTTGGTAAAGCGAGCATCGGTTGCTAGGGTTGCATCACTGACTACCATGATGCATTGCGCTCAGCTGGCATTGCAAAATGGCCGCCCGCAGCTTGGGCGTGGTCGTTTGGTGTCGAGTTAAATTTTTGCTCATAAATTTGTAAATACATCTTGAGGAACTTTCGAGATCAGAATAGTATTAATATGCTGAAAAGTAGCACTACGACGCGATTTGCACTTCCACTTCGAGAAACGCTTGACTCGACTTGATTGTCGCGGCACGCGATGTGGATGCCGCTGCTTCCGTAGCAGCCATCTTGGTGGTACTCCCTCCATCATGCGCGCGCGGTCCTCATGTCACAGCCTCTGCCGCTTCTTTTTTATCTCTCTTTCCCTCCATTCTTCTTGTACGTCTTCTATCTGCTTTTCTGCATCTTTAGAACGATATCCTCTTCCACAATAATCTTATTCTGCTGATGCGTTATTTAGAAATGTTCTCTTTTATTTTTGATAAGCAACACGTCGTTGTTTCGAACGATCAATATCGTTAGATAATTATATATCTAACACGGTACTCGCAACGAACTGCACATTTCGGGGGCCGATTTCCGAGGCGACGCCTACTATCTTCCCACTACCGCTCGAGGCTCGACGGTCGAGCCGCCGATCGCTGTGGCCTCAGGGGTGTTTTCGTTTCAGAAATGTTGAGTATGACCCTTCCGCCAACATTAATAAAAAATTGTTTCAAATAATTTATTTTCATATATTAAACATTAAATTTTCTATTATTAATGTATTATATGTGTTTTTATGTAATATTTTGACAATAAGTAATAGAAAATATATAATATAATAGTTTAACAA